AGGAGCTCAGACGACCTACTTGAGCATTCAAATCGCCTGCATGGATCACAATGTCAGTGCTTTTTGCCTGACGAATGAGCCCGGATAGCTCTCGATAGAAAGTATCCTTCTCCGCATCAGAACTGCAGTTCGTTGGGGCATAAGCCGACACGACAAACAGGCACCGCTTTTTATGCCGCGAGGCATTGAGCTTGATTGAACTGGATAACCGGACGGCGCAAAGACGACCGTTCACTGGGGTCCAATCCAGCAAAGGGCGTTCAGCTCTGGGGCTGAGTGCGACTCCCACGCCATATATTCTACGAGTCATCGCTTCCGGGTCACCGGACACACGGAGGGAGAAATGTGAAAGAGTTGAGTTTGTCCTTGGCGTTCTGAGATGCACAGCCACATTCGAGTCTTGTATGTGTGTTTCGGAGTCACAGCATACATCAATTTCAAAAGAGTATGAGGTTTCAGCAAGCATTGCCTGTTTGCCAACCTGACATAGAGTGCGGACGTTAAAAGCTCCTATATAGGAAGGATCTCGTAAATTTAGAAAGGTGCTATTTTGTTTAATGTTTGTAGGCAGCGAGGAGCATAAGGCCCTTCGGTCAGATGACTGACAGTCAAGTGGCCCAGCGACATTTGCTTGTGCAGTGGGAAGGGGTTGTGGAGGAACATCGGTGAACGCTGAACTGCGCAGGCAAATGGTACTTCCCGGTTGCCCAGGCCGAGGAAGAGGGTTTGGTTGAGGTACCCCACCTTGAGCCTTTGACTCAAAAGTCTGATCCACAAGGCAGTGGGAAGACGTAGGGTTTTGTTCGGGGGCCCTGACCTTAGCATCTGACTCAGAAGTCTCACCCAGGAGTCGCAGAGGACAGTAGGACTTTACCCCCAGACCACCTCGTAGCAGGATTACTCGTAGTGCAGGGTCTCGGTGCTCCCCTTTGGCCTTCCTGGCATGGTTGCACCTTGTGAAACGAATTTCCAGCCAGTGTAGTCCGCGGGATCATTGGAGCACTCAATTCCGACCACCACGTCAAGGTGGCAGCTTTAGGTCGGGGAAGTATGAAGACACTAACCAGTAAACTTAGTCGGGTGGACAACTGCCACCTCCCTGGATAGGGACCCTGGGGCTCGAATCACCAGTGGTTAATTACACTGGCGGAAATGGCCCAATTCCACAGTCAGTGGCGCTCATGCATCAAAGCTATCGCTTTTAATGCGTAGCTACCCAATTTCCGAACAAACTGAACATGTCGTCGCCTCTAGATCTGGGTTGCACGTTCCACTTTCCCGTTTTCAGTGACCGAAACTGTAGTAACTGGAACCAATGTGCCTATGGCACACGGTTTACAACTGATAAATTGAATTCAGATTGAAGGCACCGAAAAGGTGTTGCGGCTAAAGGATACTATTATTACTCAAAATAAAGAGGCTAGCCACACGACGCAGGAAACTCCTACACCGTTGGTCTAACTAGATGTTAAACAGCTTGCATTGTCGCACGAACAGATACCACGGACAAAAAAGCGAGTCTGTGGTTCGCCACTCGGAGCCCCTGAGTTGGTCTATCGTCTTCGAACAGTTCGAAGTGTCTTGAATCGATCATCATCATCAACCTCACCAGAGACAGCAACACCAATGTTATCATTGATGCTTCACTGCCATACATCCACAGTTTATTTAATGAAGTGAAAAAAGAAAAGACCGGATGGGGAATGGGCTTGGCGCTGGCTTACCTCAAGCTTTCTGAAACTCTAAGCTTCCAAACGTTCCATCAGATAACTTGCACCAACGTCATGCGTATCAGCTTGACACTACCGCTTAACATATCTTTAGCATCTGACTCAGAAGTCTC